TTTACTGAAATAGGGGCACCTTCACAGTCAACATGCCTGCTTAAGGCCTAAAAGCACATTAATACATAGAAACACATTATCATATTACTGAGATAACTGGGTCATGTATAAAATGTACATAGCCTATCACATTTTTAAGTTCTGTGTTGACTCTCATTCAAGGAATGACGTCACTGAGACCTGTTTCCTGTCTCTCATCCCGCACTGCTTGTCACAACCATCTGGAAACCCCCAGACGTTGCGACCTCTTTGAGGGTCCCGACCCCAAGGTTGAGAACCACAGAGCTGGAGGACTGTGGTTAAAATGCTGCAGTGCATTCAAGAAACAACAATGAAAGAACAATGAACAATGAAACCAGGTCAAGTGTTTCTCCACCAGACAAGTCTGAAAGTGATGTGTGTAAAGCAGTATAATCCATTATTCTCAGTACCTGTCATAGTTTATTACCACTGAAATATAAAACCTTGTACAAGGTTATATCTGTTTATATGTAAAGAAACCAGACAGTATCAGTGTCAACATCATCTGCAGAGCACATCAGGAAAGAAGGGAAACTCACATATTCACAAGAAATAACCCCCCAAAACCCCCTAAAAATGTATCCAACTCGCTCATTTTGCACAAACTTCCAGCAGTTATTGTAATCTCTAAGTGGGTTCATTAAACAGTTTATTAGCAGTCAGAGTTCATCAGTTTACTCAATTATAGAAAAGGGATCCATTAAGGAAAAAGGTTGGGAACCAGTGCTGTGGGGTTTGAGGGCCTTAACACTAAAATAAGAGCAGCATTCAACAGACCTACCAGCAGGGGGCGTAGTAGACACATTGACCTACATTAAACAGTATCCAGGTTGTGCCTCTGAGATTACAAATGTCTTTGTGTAGAGATACTCCCGGTATCATCACTGATTATTGGTTTTAATGTTTCAAGCTAAAGAAATAGTTCTTTACTGAAAACACTGTTTCAGAAGTATTTACAAAGCAATGTGAGGTTGTATTTAAGGAAGCAATAAATTATATACTTTAGACAATCCATGCTCTGAAAAAGAGAAAATGCTTGTTTTATTTATAGACTTATATTCTACACAGCCATTCAAACAACACACCGTAGGAGGAAATGTGTTTTGTAAAGGCACATCTGTCTTTCTGCATTTCCTCTGAAAGCTTTGAAGCCTCAAGCCAAAGCATGACCCAGATATAGTCAAACATGTCTCACAGCACTCAAACACTCTGCTAACTATTCGTCCTTCATAAAAAAAAAATATTGCATGACTACTCTGCGATCAAAAACCAAAACCATTCATATAAATATGTGATAGACTGCTGCTGTCTGATCTAACAGCTTATTCAAATCTCAACTTTACTCTTTAAACAACAGCGTATCGTGCAGCCAAATGACATAAAACTATAACTAAATGTCAACAAATTTAGAATAAATGTTTAAAATACAAATAAGGAACGTATATTGAAGACCCTCATGTTGTAGGTCCAAGCACATCATACTCCCCCCTGTATAAAAGGACATTTATGATGCTTCTTATCCCTTTAATAGGTTATCCACGTATAGGAGATGACACATTGTGTGTAAAAAGAGCGAAAGCGTACCACATGTGCAGTTTAGTTTCACTTCACTTAACTCATCCTTTTTTTCACATCATACTCCTCCCTTAAGATGGTGTGAAGGCGAGGATATTGAACAAAGTAAAAAGAGTTTAATGAAGAGAGGTAAGAAAGAAAACTCACGGAGATACATATGTATGACTAAAACTTCAAGTCTCAGACACACACAGTCAAGATCAGAGTCTGACGGTGCAACACACACACACACCTGTTAACTGATTACAGGCAGTTAATTGATCCTTTCTTTCCATACAGAGCCTGCTAAAACCATGCTTGATCAATAATCTGGTTATCACTGAGCATGCACACAGATGTAGAAAAACTTTAAGGCCTTCTTCTGCAGAACGCCTTTCATGTGCAGAGACACACAGGTCTTTGATGTTCTTTCATGAATCTCATCATCTCGTGTGACACCAGAGGAGTAAAAGTGACGCAGATGATATCTACCTACCAAATTAGGCCACTCACACATGTCAAAGACGGCAGTGAAGAGAGTTTCTGTTCCTCTCTGGATGTAAAGCTCCAGCCAGAGGGGGGCCACATGCTCCTTCTTCTCCTGCAGCAGCTCCACAACCTCAATAGCTTCACCCTGAAACCAGATAGAGTTAATTATGTGCATCCAAAGAAGGCATGAATACTAAAAAGTGCTGTAACTTATGAATGATCAAAGTAAGGCCTTTGATTTTTAGGCTTTGTTCACACTTCAAGCCTTAGTGCCCAATTCTGAATTATTGCTCTGATTTACGAAATTTTTTTAATGAGGCTCATATCATATCATGAACAAGTCTCGGTCCTGAAGTCCTTTATTGTTTGATGACAGAGTGAACAGAACATTTGAGTTTTCTTTGTGAACAGTGAACACAGCTCTATCCTGTCACCTGGGTGATAAAAGAGAAAGCATGACAGGCTAAATTGTAAAAACTATCCTGCGGATTAAGTGCGCATCCAAACAAAAGTTTCAGCGGTTAATGGCTCCGGAAATCAGTAATTGCTTTCAAAATAAAATAATGATGGGATTTTCTTTGAGAAAGTAAGAAAATCATATATCAATACATGCTAACTGTATTTATAGATAAACAATAATAAAAAGTGTTGGCGAGATGTGTTGCGATAATAAAAGTGTAAAATAATTTATCAGTAAATAAATACTTAATAAATAAATAAATAAATAAATATTCTATAACATGAAAAAAAAGATAAAAACTACAACTCCCACTTATTTTAACTACAAATAACTCTTCTCTTCTTTTGAGCTATTAAATATGTGGGACTTTTAATCGATTAAATACTATTAATATTAATATTTACAGCTCCAGTATTTGAACACTGCGCACCCTTGCACCGAGTCACAGTGTCCACTGGGTGGCGCCACTTAGCCAGCATTTACGTTGCTCTGCCCCAAAGGCTGCTGGGTAAATTGTCTCTGAGGAAGCAGCATGAGCCGATAAACAAGTTGACATCACACAGGTAAATGTTTCCTAATGAGCCGTTCAGCTTGTGAATACACAGTTTATATTGTTTGTATTAACTGTTGTTGTTTAGTGTCACTGTTGTTTATTTGAGGTGTAAAGTCGGACGTTGAATGCGCCTCCATCTTTGTTTTTAAGATGTCAGCATGTGTCTTTCTTTGCTCCTGATAGTCAGCCTCACTGCTGTGTTTCTAAGTGCTGTTGTATCTAAACAGAAGCTCATATTGTTAAACGCACTCTGCATTGTTTAGTTGTTCTCATTAGTTATTGTGTGTTTTCCAGAAGTAGCAGAGTTAGCAGAGACATTCAGTGAGCTGCAGGCATCTCCAGTCATGGTAAGTTACTGTCTTCAGCTTGAGTATTATTAGTGTCATATATTAAAGGTGTACTGGGCAGGAAAACCTTTAAAAGACAAAGTGGGACTGCAACATATAAGCGCAGCAGACTCTCATTCAGTGAGACCTTCAAAGACCTGGTGTTATTCAGAAAGTGGCACATTAAAGCTGCAGACATCAGGGAGCAAAACTGCCCAGTAAACCTTTAAATTAACCTAAAACCAACAGATTCTTGATGGAAAACAATTGTGAGACTGTGAGTAATATATGTCCTCTTCCCTCTCATTGGCAGGAGGACATAAGCACTGTGATGTCCTGGTTTTCCAGCCCTGTATACAGCCGCTACTGGCAGCACTACCAGCAGGCGATGGCCTGGCACCAGAGACACAGGCGTGCCTACCGAAAGGCCTTGGAGGCTGCCTACGGCCCCGGCTACTGCCTGGAGCAGCATCCCAGCAGCCACCGGCGCTACGCGGACTGGCACGGCAGAGAGCGTGGCAGGAAAGATGAAGAAGAAGAGGAGGAGAGCAGCTCGGACAGCGAGATCGAGTGCGACGTGAGCAACATGGAGATCAGCGAGGAGCTTCGGCAGTACTTCGCCCAGACGGAGAAACACAGAGAGGAGCTGAGTAAGAGAGCGACGTTGTTCCCCTGCAGTTTGAGTCTGAGGACGTATCAGGAGTAACTTGCTTTGCTTTGGGGTTGTGTAAGGTGAAGAGGTGCCTGCTGTGTCTCTAAAAATAACCTGTTTTCCTGTCCCTGCAGAGAAGCAGCAGCAGATGGAGGCCGAGCAGCACGACAGCTACGTGCCGGCCGACCAGGACATGCACGCCGTCTCCTGGCGAAGCAGCGCGGCTCCTCCCTTCGAGAGACCGGGCGAGAGACGCGGGGCCGAGATGAAGAAGCTGTACGGCGAGGATGCGGCCAAGATCCTGGCCATGGAGGCGGCGATGCAGCTCACGTTCGACAGAAACTGTGACCTCAAACAGCCCAAGTACTGGCCCGTCATCCCGCTGAAACTGTAACGGCGGCGGGCAGAGCGGTCGGTTTGGAGGAAATCCCTCTGATCTCTGATCTCAGGGTGCCGTTGTAATGGATGGAGGGCTGTCCACACTTCTAATGTGGAACTAATGGTTTGGGTTGGCTGAGGGGTTGGAAGTTATTTTAAGCACAAAAAGATGTAAATGTCACCAACCTGTCAGCTGCTGCCCCACATGGAAACTTATTTTCAATGTACACAAAATGTTGGATTTGTTGTAACTTTACACTTCTACATAACTTACTTTTAACTCTGTGAACTGTATGGGCTCTGTATGGGATCCACAGCTCCTCCGTCATGTTTCCAAATCATCTCTCCTGCGTTTGAGGTCAAAGGGGAAGCTGCCATCAGTGCGTGGTGTCCGGTCATGACATGCTGGTTTTGATAAATACATGGGGGAAAAAAATATTTATACATAAACAACTTATGCCTGCATGTTTCCACCTAATCTGTTTATGTTTACCCTCGAGCTTGGTGATGTTACATGCTGCAGTAGCTCCTCTTATGCCTGTCAACTCGGTTTAACCACAGAAACACTGTCGACCCCCTCCCCCCGCTCAAATTTTTAGAAGCGTTCCCGCATGGCTGCTTCTGATATTCCACTTTTCAGCGCACATGAAGAGTGATTTGTTGTTGTTGCTTCTAAACTGTGCCTCTCCAATTCTGACATTTCATCAGGTTCAAAGGCGTCGGTTCGGTTTCTCAGGAGGGACGTTGACTATTCTCTTTTATATGGCGCTCGCACCAGTAGACTGAGCGATGTGTGTTTTAATATGAATTCTGTTTGTAATAAAGTATTTTATGTTTGGATAAAACCTGCTTTGTCAGTTGTGATGTCTTAATTACCTCTCTGGCTCTTTATTAAATAACTGCTGTTAAGCTTATGGGCAGTGCATTCGTACATCCCCAAATAC